GTATTTATCCCGTTCAAAGCAATCCAGATCGTTCTCGAACACTAACGCGCTGGTCCGGCTGGTCGGTTCTAGCCGATTCTAGCTTGATGGCGTCAGCGGCAGATCGCTCACCGCAACGTTGCCGCTGTTTATGTTTAATATTATGACAATTAGATTTTTTTGTGGAATTTTCGAAAGCTTCTCTGATTTTTGCAGTTTGTATTTTTTAAATTAAAATCGATGTGAGAGCTACCAGAATTGCCTCCGCGAGCTACCGGTAGCTCACGATCGACAGGTTGGCGACCACTGACTTAATCTTAGTTGAACTATTTAATATTGAAATTGTTCAACTTGAGAAAAGTTCAGGTTATTTCTTGAATTTTATATGTATTAATATGATAATGTAATTCACCTCATTCTTTCAACAAACCTCGTATATCCTGTAAGTAATTGAAATTAATATTACGGAAGCCTAGAAAATGTGAATCCAGAAATAGGTAGAGCAACTCTATTTTTTTTTTCACCAAGAAATAGACGGACTGATTGGAAAACTACCCCTTCAATTACAGATAATCATGATGAAACCCTTATCGTAGACGAGATCAAAGACATGCAACAAATGTTTGATGAAATGATGGAAAAGACTATGAAGGAAACTGAAGAAGAAAGAAACGGGATGGATTCCGATATGAGTGGAGCGGATAGAGTTGAAGAAGTCGTCGTATCAAAAGATGAGAAGGAAGCTGAGGAAACTAAAGTTGTGAGTAAGATGGAGGTGGATGCGAAAGAAGAAAACGTCGGAAAGCCGAAGAAGATAAAGCCGAGCGATAGTGAGACTGATGGAGACAATGCAAGGGTAAGTTCAGTGAAAATTGTTGAAGAAGGTATGAAATTTTTATTTAAACGAACTACTATTAAATTAATATGCAAAATCAATGTTGAAGGCTTCATTTTATTTTGTGTCATCCACCTCACAGGTTTCTTAATATTTTACTTCATATATTACCCTATGCATTACATTTTTCTAGTATACAGTGCATTTCTTTAATGTTCCCTCCCCTTTTATTTTTTGAAAAAATCGCTTGAATTTTTTCTTCCAATGGACGAGAATTGACCATTTTAGAGATTGTTGACGTGGTACCTTTCTACAAGTAAAACCGAAAACTAAATGAGAATATTCTAATCGAACAATGATGTTCATTGTCGTACTGACATTTTTTGTCGTTTTTATAAACAAAAAATTACTTAACAAACCTTATCGAGTTGTTGGAATTGCCATAAAGGAATATTTCTAGAAATATCGATGTTAATGTGTTTGTCTTCAGGGAATTTTTAAATGTTTCACCATTTTGTAGTAGGTGACGATATTGACTTCATATTCTAGGGTTGAGAAGTATTCGTCAGGAGCTTCAAAATCATATGTCACAAGACCTCCCTTTTCATTCAATTTTTTTCCCAGACGGCGCCCAGTCGCCATCTTGAAAGTTTCATCTGTCAACTTTACTTCAAAATAAAGTATTCATGCATTAATTTCATTATCCCAAATTTCAATTTTTTGACCCGTTCAAAAAATAAAAGGGAGGGGGACATTGAAGAAATGCACTGTATTTTCACATTGAACCTTCATTTGGGGGCATTTTTCGTAAATATATCCTTCTTGCTATATATATAGATGTTGGAGCGAGAGATATATACAATATGCTATAGGTAACTACAAAAACTCATAAATCGAATTATCATTGTAAAATTAATTTATTTTGATCTCAATTGTTTTATATTTTTATTTGCTCAGTCTACAGTATTCAAGTTTTTCCAGAAGTGTGATGATATGAATACAAGAAAGGTCAGAGTTCTGAATTGCAATGAGCTATTTTAGAATCAGTCCAATTAATAACAAAAATAAATAAACAAATATGATTATGTAAATCAATAATATAAATCGTTTTTAAATGCTATTTGGAATTTTTCTGTGTTGGAAAATTATTTACTGTCATTTGGTGACTCATTATATGCAATTAATCCTTCATAAAATATGTATAGACGTAAATTTCTTCTTTCTGTGTATTCCATGGTGGAATGTTTTTTATTTTTCATCATGGACTGTTATTTTCATTGTGAAAATTGTGTATATCATCAGAAGTTACTTGTAAATTCATGATAGTGATAAATTGACATTTCATAATATAGATTTATTTTATTTATTCCCAAGAAAGTACAATGGTTTATACAGAGAATCATTTATACAACACATATTCATATATAAATATATAATTTCAAAGGAAGCTATTTCAGAATTAGTCCAATTAATAACAAAAAAAAACAAACAAATATGATTATGTAAATCAATAAAATAAATAGTTTTTTAATGCTATTTTGAATTTTTCTGTGTTGGAAAATTTATTAACGTCATTTGGTGATACATTACATGCAATTTATCCTTCATAAAATATAGATTTTCTGGAAAATGCAGATTTGAGATTTTTTTTGTCAACAGATTGAGCTGTATTGTTGAATGATCAAGTAAATTTCTTTGTTCTGTGTATTCCATGGTGGAATGTTTTTTATTTTCCATCAGACTGTTATTTTTATTTTTATCATGAAAACTGTGTATACCATCAGAAGTTACTTGTAAATTCACGATAATGCTAACTTTTTACTGGTGGAAAAATATAAAATAGGCAAAAGAGACATCAAAGATAATTACCACAACCAACAACTTAAAAAAATGTGTTTTCTTCAAAAGGTCTGTTATGTGTTATTCTCTTTTATTTGAAATTTTGCAGACCTCGGTAGATGATTCTAGCAGCGGTTCCAGCTCTTCTTCTAGTTCCAGCGACAGTTCTGATTCAGACAGTGATGACGATGACGATGATGAGGAAGAGAGTAGTTCAAGTTCATCGACGTCTTCTTCAGAGCGTTCCAACGAATTCATGTCGGACTGTGACATAACTCACTTGATTGACAGATGTGTAAGTGGTAAGTAAACGCGTTCACAAAAACCGAGGTGACCAACTGGTGATTTCTTATTCCCCTGTGATTTAAGTAAATAAGCTACACCATGAATACATACTACATACTACTATCTAGTGTTTTATAAGTCTACTTTAAACTGTTATATCTCAGTAAATACTTATTTTATTTAATATAAATAAGCGCCTTTTGAATCAGTGCACTCTTAATTGCAAAATAGGGTGCTCCGGATTCGATAAAGTCGACGAAGGCCGTTTTTGTCTGGTCCTGATTGGCGAAGGTTCTACTGGTGAGGAAGTTATCAAAGTGCTTGAAAAGGTGGTTGTAGGTTGGCGAGAGGTCTGGGAAGAATGGTGGTTGAGGCAGAACTCTGTCCTCAATTCGTTTAATTTTCGAACGGTGATTTGTGAACGTAAGGTCGGGCTTTGTGGTGGAGTAGGATCGGACCTCTTTTGTTGATTAGCGCCGGATGCTGCTGACGCAATTTTCGGTACATTCTGTCAATTTTCTCACAATAGGACTTTACTGTGTTGGTTTGGCCCAGTTGCAGAAAGTTATAGTGAATCACGCCAGCCCCATGTGACCCATTGTACATCCTCCCAAGGAGTTGTCCTCCTAGGTCATCGTCCATCCTGTCCTTTCCAGGAAGGTGGACAGGAGACATCTCCTTTATATTGGCAGGTGTAGGCCAAGACTCGCCGAACAAACACTCTCTTTGACAACCTTGAGGTGTCTCGCGGGGACCTCCGCGAAGGTTTTGGAAGGTGCAGCGACATTACTGTCGTTGCGCGGCTTCTTCAACCTTCTTGGGGATCCCTCCGTGGAGGTGCACAACTGAGGGAGCTTTCCTGCAGGTTCAGCCGGTTCCGCTGTCTTTATTCAAGGCGAAGCTCTTGGCGCCCGCCGCAGAAAGTGCCCTTGCTGTTGGAGGTGGAGTGGGGGAGGGGGAGGGGGGACATATAGGTGCTGCCTCTTTCTCCTTTTGGCCTCGCTGCCGCAAATGCGCTTACGCCTTGGTCTTTGTATACCATCACGAGGTGATCTGCTATATCCAGCCTCTTTTCAAGCGGTGTGTTAGAAATCACACGTTAAAAGGTAAGACCTCGTTAGTCCTTAGCTCGCACAAGTTTCTCAACTTCTGAGAGTTGTCATTCGTATGGGGGTGGCAGCTGATTAACGGAAAAAACAGATTTTAAACAGATTGGGGTGGACATTCTGTTCATCCCCAGCCACCGCCTTAGATTGAGGTGAACACATCTGTCCAGCCTCGGGATTGGTTTTTGTTTTTGTTGTTTCTGTTTTTGTGTTTGTTTCATTCATGTGTGTTTCGACGAGTAGCAAGAGAAGAGTTGGTTACCTCTGGCAGAGCCCCGCATCATCAGAGGAAGGCTGATTACAATGAGGTTTCGCCCGGTTCCCCAAGGGGATCGTCCGTAACCGCATATCATCTTGCGGCCTTTCAGCTGTCGGCACGATTCCTTACACGTTAGCTTGGGTAGGCTGGTCCACGGTGGCATCTTTCTCAAATGCTTTGGGGAGTTTTAGTTCCCCTCACCCTACTTATTTCTGCCACAGACCAGGAGTCCGGTGACCCCGTCCGTAAGACCACATTGGCTTCCCGGGGAGGGCCTACAGTCCCCTGGACGTTCCCTATCCGTCACCTGGGGACGCGTCCGATAAGTAGCCCAACCCACGGGCTTCATGATCTTTCCAATGGGTTTTGAACCAACAAAAACCGCATGAGAGCTGACGCCCAGTCATCAGAGTCCTCAAATAATCGTTCTGGATTACTGTAGGTCGACCACTCATCTTCCAGGCTGAAATCTCTGGAACTAAATTTCACAAACCAACGTCAAACAGTACGTTCGGCAGCGCTTTGGTTGAAAAAAAAATTAACACCATCAATGTAAAGTATATACCAGGACACAGTAGAATAAATATTTATTGAGATATGGAGCTACAAAAACACATGACATTGAAACGGATAAAACTTATGAACAACCTAATTCTTGCCCTATTTTCTCCAATGAAAGATTTCTGCTTATCATTTTCTGTTTTTTTCTGCCTTATCTACCCAAGACAAACATAGAGTTTATCTTGAATACATCATCTTTTGACACCGTTATTTTTGTCATTACTTTTTTATCTAAAACAAGCACTTTTTCCAAAAACCAAAACTGCAATACCCTTCTCGACGCGCCATTCAACAACCAAGTTGACGTCGTCTGGAAATGAAGAAAACTCAATTTCCAACTTTAAAGATGGCTTTCATTTATATCTAGCAGGTTACACTTTCACTTTCCGACTCGCATCATTGATTTTGTGCAAAAATATCCGAAATCGGATATGAGTTGCGTGTTCTTCGAAACGATTTTTAATGTCTCGCTTTGTGTGACCGATATATTTCATATGAGGAAACTTTCACGTTCCACTTTTCAAAATACTATCTAATCTGTTAGTTGTAAGTCGAAGATTCTCCCTCAATTTACGTTTTCTAAATAACTCATCTACTGTGTTTAAAAAAACCTGTTGCTCTCAGATATGAGTTGCGTGTTCTTCGAAACGATTTTTAATGTCTCGCTTTGTGTGACCGATATATTTCATATGAGGAAACTTTCACGTTCCACTTTTCAAAATACTATCTAATCTGTTAGTTGTAAGTCGAAGATTCTCCCTCAATTTACGTTTTCTAAATAACTCATCTACTGTGTTTAAAAAAACCTGTTGCTCTCAGATATGTCTCTGATAACATATACAAGAGTGGTATTATTTCTATAGACATCAAATTCTACACTAAGATATCCTAAAACGGTTGTCTGTCTGCTTCATTATTTTCAATTTCATATATGAACTCAATATTCAGGGAACTGCTGTTGAAAGTTGAAACAAAATCTTGCACCTTCGGTTTCTTTGTGTCAAAAATTGCCAATACATCGTCGACATTTCGGATACAAATTTTCTTCAAATTCAAATTCGCCATGAACTGAATTATAAGAAAAACACTTTTCTCTATTCCGTTTATATTCCAAAGATTCGTAATGGAATCGAATCAAATATCATCCACAGGATTCCTACACAATACTATTAATGATCTACACTTCTTTGTATAGAGTTAATTTTTGAAATTGATTGCTTTATTCCTTTTTTGGAAGATTCCCACATTTTTTGTATCAATATTGATAAGTAGAAGGCCAAAGACTTTCCCAAAAATTAATCTCTCCTAAAAATATACCCTTTCAATTTTAAGTTTTTTGCTATTCTTTATTGTGCTAAATTGTGCTTAATTGTGCTAAATTTTCGTTACACTGTGATTTACGGTGGTAGTCTTTCATTACTGAAGCAACTCATTTGTTTTACTAAATTTTACATCAATGTTGTAAATCAAGCCCTGAAGAAAATATCGCCGGCCGCCACTGGTAGACGTAAACCAATTGTGACGTAGGTACGATGTACGCGAATGTACGATGTTCGCTGCCGTTCTAGATGTAGCGAGAATTCCGAGGAATGTTCCCGCGCCTTCGATTTCCAAATATAAGCGTCATCAACTCCAACATCGAGACAGTCAAGTGGAAGTTACAGTGCGTACGCGAAGCGACCCACGTAAAGCGTAAACCCACGGGGGGAAATATAACATTAATATACATTTATAACGTGAATTATATGCAAGTCCATTCGTAAATACGTAACTCAGTTTACTGATGAGCACGTTATGTGTTTAAGTATATTCTGCATCTATTATTGGTTTGTACATTCACCTACTTGTCTTTTTTTATAGATTGGTTTTCTTACTTACAAATTTTTAAAAAATCATAAAAGGGTGTTGCTCTTATCTAGAGACCCATAACCCGTTTCCAACTTTTACAGTAGCTTGGCTGTAACAAAAAAAAACTTTGAAACTTCAAGTTTGAATGTTTAAAAAATCTGTTTCTGTTTAAAATCTGTTTTCGGTTAACCAGCTGTCGTAACCCTACGAACGACAACCCTCAGAAGTAGAAACTTGTGCGATCTAAGGATTAACGAGGTCTTACCTTTTAACGTGTAACTCTTAACATAAGTTGGACGATAGCAAGTGAAAATCGATCGTTCAGACTAGGGCTTGAACCACCGACCAACACGGCGGTCAATTCGAGTGAGTGAACAAAGCACCCACGTCGAACTGACCGGCTACCGACCGACCGAGAGACTATTGAAAATCAGGAGAATACATCAAATAATACTATCGATGGTTGTTGAAAAGTGAACGTGTACCCTGTTAGTCATAAATAGAAACCATTTTTCGTGTTAGGAAGTGTTTTTTCATCTCGTGAAGACGCCAACTTGGTTGGTGAAATACTCGTCGAGAAGAGTTTTGCTGTTCTGGTATTTGGGAAAAGTGCTTATTTTGGATTGATTCTACGCTAGAGGTTCCAGTTTTATCTAATTTTGTATTGATCTCTAGTGCAGTCTGTTGAAGTAGATAATGTATTGTCTTCATCAGTCAACGTAAAGGATACACATAACCCAAGGACCGTTATATAACATAGGATAGCTGGATGACAACAGATTTTCGCCAGTCGAGTAGCGCTCGGTGACGTCACCGCGGACCGATCTCAAAGCGTTCTCCATTACACATACGGAGCGAATATTACATTTTATATTTTTTGTTTTACTTTTGGGACATTTTTCGTTCATTCAATCAATACAAATTGAGAAATTGATGTAGTAAAGTTTTTAAAAGAAAGTACAAACTT